TGCTCACTTCGGCACATTTCTGGCATACGCGCTATGGAACACTGCGAAGCATTTTGAACAGATAGCTACAGCGCAGCCTGGTACGGAGCATGCTGTGCCTTTCCGCCTCTTGCGCACTACGCGTCGATGTGGCGGGTATTTCGTCTTGATTGTTACGGGCAGTCGTAAGGGCTGGTGCTTTGAGGCCATGACAGGGGCTGCTGTCTTTGAGGCCATGACAGGGGCTGCTGTCTTTGAGGCCGTGAACGACGGGGGCTGCTGTCTTTGAGGCCATGGACGACAGGGGCTGCTGTCTTTGAGGCCGTGGACGACAGGGGCTCCTGTCTTTGAGGCCGTGGACGACAGGGGCTGCTGTCTTTGAGCCCGTGGACGACAGGGTCTGCTCTTGCAGCTCTATCTGAATGGCCACCTCAGCGATCTCTCTGCGTGAGACAGGCATCTCTCTGTCTGCTTTATGTGTGCCGTACACATTATACAGACCTGTCCGCATCACTCCATGGAACGCATTTTAGTCCATCTTAGATATCTGCACAGGTGAGAAGAGTGTGACAGGTTCTGGTCCACCTGATCGACACCCTCCATGCCATGATTGTACACCACGATGCACTCAGGTTTGTATCAGATTTTTCCTCTCTTTGATGTGACAGATATTGTCTTGACGTCACGTTTTGTTGTTATAACGGTAGCGATTTTTCTGTTCTTCCGGGACAAGATTTGACAAGCACCGTCCGCGAATGCGCAAATCTCGACCCGGTAAAAGCTTTTGTGGACTCATCTAAGCGAATATGACCTTTTGGTTAGAATATTTAACTTGATGGCACTTTAAAACCATGTGCTAGCTTTGATGCACACGCATTTCACAACACAATTGTACACAGAGTGTTGGATTTTTGGTCAGTTTTGACAAGTAATTCAACAGGGTTTAACCCATTGGACAGGCGCGGTTATAACACGTGGCTTGTATGTAACTTTGAGACTGGTGCTGGAAAAGCTTGCCCAGTAGACATATCAATGTTCACGCCATGCGCACATGATTGACACTTGCGATATAGAAAATTACAAAAGTCCGACGCCGCCTTATATCAGCATTAAGACATGCCAGTTGCCAGTTGGGCATCTGCGACGTATATAACTGCTTACCGCACTGGTGTTATCCTGTACATCCATGACCTCTAAACATCTGGAGACTTTCCGGTAATGGAATCATACTTGGGAAATCATCGCAGACGACCAGCACACCGCACCGTACATAGTGACGTCCAACGCTAGAAGCCCTCACCATTGTACGCCCAAATGCGCCGCAAAAATACTTGTCTAGTGAACTTTGGTTCCCTATTGGCGTGTCTTCCAGGTCAGCCTCGCTCCACGGCTTCTGCACTAACACTAGCAGAGGAAGAGGAGTCCAAAGTGTCTGAGCTTCAATCTGAAAAGGAGTCCGCACACAGCTCTTGGTACACGGCCTCCGCACCCAAAGACACACGTTATCGTTCATCCGCCATGTCATCTACGCAGCCCACTCGATTTCAATACGCAATGGGTTGAGCAAGTGCAACGTTGGGAGAGTTGCTTTTCTAGCGGAGCCGAAATGTCCACCGGCATGGTGAAGATACTTTCCGAAGCCATGCTGTGTGCTCAGTTTTTGATGGATGGGTGCGGAACAGCCTTTAAGGTTTACAATCGGATATTACCAGCAAAGCTGCTTTGGAGGTGTTTGCCTGACGGTGGCGACCCCTGACAAGCTTAACCGCTCTACCGCTTTCACTCGGTGGATTTCCTTTGGAATGTTATGATCTGAGCGCTATCTGCAGAGGCGGTTTGCTGACAGATGGCTACTTCTTGCGCGCTAACTTTGGACGTCCGGCTCTAACACTGCCTGTCTTTTTTTTAGATCGCTTTAGCTCATGTCTAATCCACTCAGTTTCACTCCTTTGAAACACGTCACATGGGAAGTGCACATAACTCCTTCTGACTCGATCAGGTCTTACACAGGATTACGGGTTTCCTTATGGCTTTCCAGTGTTGTGGCTTAAGCGGAGAGGTATTGAAAAGACTGCTGTAGACAGCACAACGCTCCGTTTAGTAAAGATGCCCCTCAGTGCGTCATGGATTGGTTTACATCATCGTTACTTGCACAACAATGATTGTAAGCCAATTGGCGGCCGTTATGTCTGTAAATCGCGCTCACGTACGCCAGATATGATCACTTTGACCATTATCTTTTTCCTAGGCCTTCATCGCCGCATGGCGTATGGAACGGCAATATTTGAATGACGTTTTCATGACGTCATAAATGCTTTGGTGACTTTGAAATACTCTCCACGGTAAACCTTGCCCACCTTCTCGGCCGTGTAGCTCAGAAACTAGAGAGGCTTAAGTCTTAAGAAGGGTAGGATTGCGAACAGCACAAAAGGTCGTCAAGATGGCTATTTCGGTTCAAAACTCGATAAATGTGGAGCACTCCCCACAAACTTTTACTCTTGCCCACCATCAGGATTTTTGTCAAAATCCAATGTCCCCATCGTATAAGGTGGAAGAAAACGTATTTCAGAACATCATCACGGTAAATAGCACACCGGCTGCCGAAAACAACCAACTAAGAATAGGACAACTAAAAGTCTTGTCATCAAAGAACAGCCCCACAGCAGGCGAAAACCACCAAGAAAGCGTGTCGACATAGTGTCTGACTGCCCGCGCGGAGACTGCCGGCGACGCAACTCAGCCTATACTGGAATGACTACGACAGCTCCATCACGGAGCGTGACAATGCACATGTAGGAGGGAGCGCCAGACCAGTATACGTGCAAAACCCACAATCAAAAACTCCCACGCTGTGATATATCTGATAACATACTGATTCTATAATCATGCCCTAGCAATCGCCGTTTACAGGTTATTGAAGCCACACTTATAAGAGGAAGAACCCTGACAAAAACAAACAGTTCTGGTCATGCATCATCTTGGACCTATTCAGTCGCCCAATGACAGGAGGGTGATTCAATGTCTTGAATTTGCCATGGTGTCAAACTGGCTGGATGAACAGTAAAACTCGATGGTCAGGACAGCGATCGATATAATTTATGTAATCGGTCAACATTTCGGCACAGTTGTGGATCATCACCAAGACACAGGGATATAAAGTTACAGGAAAACAAAGGTGCATTCAGCAGACATCACCAGACATCGCTGTGCCATGTCATCGCCAGACATAACAATAGTCATAGTTAACACAGCTAAACACAACTTCTCTCCGCGCGAACAAAACGGTCCGAAAACTACGAAATCATGCGACGAAAGATCTTGTAGACTCGGCGTGGAAAAGTTACCGCGTAATCTGAAGAGGATATGCAGACCTCATGATATTCAAAAGGCGGCTTCATTTGGTAAAGATGAAGCGATTCTGACATCCTAAGACGAGAGAAGTACTGCAAGGCCGAAATATGAAGACAAATCAATGTTATAGCGACTGCCACACTACATGAACGGTCTCGGATGGGTAAAGAGCCTGGGTTAGGAAGAAGGTTTCCTGTAAGGTCAACTCAGCAGCCCACTCGAGTTCGATACGCTATGAAAACACAAAGTGTAACGTTGAGCGAGTTCCCTCTCTAGCTGTGTCGTAACGCCAACTGACGTAGTGTAGATTAGATACGCAACTTTTCAGCCCGCCAACCCGCCAATGTCAGACCCGTAAGAGCCCATGGGCTTTTAGCTGGGTTATGGGTCAGGTTTGGCGCTCTTTTGTGGGTCGAAAATATTAACAGACAAAATAATGCACGTTTTTGCTATTCCTGAAGTTTTCAAATCATCTACAAACCAGATTGTGCTACCAAAAACTAAACAATTATGAAACAAAAGGTATATATATATATATATATATATATATATATATATATATATTATACAGCAAGAGCGCCAGTGGCAGAAAAGCCATGACAGACATAGCACACCAGTGAACAAGGTTGTGAAAATTGAACAGCTCTATATTGCCACTTATTTGGACCATTCTCTCACGGTATGACCATTCTTACTAAATGCGTTCGTCACCCATTATTTGTCTCATCTTATGCACCATAAAATGCATGTTACGTGTCTTATTTCAATAAAAAAATAGCGAAACTGTGATTTGTGCCACCACAGGACAGCATTGAGATGAGCATGGAAAAGTGTATAGGCTGGTTCAACCTGGAGTTTAACTATTTCGAAGAAATATTTTGAGAGCCTTGTAATAGCATGCTTCTTTGCACCTAATTGTTGTCGGCTACCATGTGCTGCAGCTGACGACACTCTATATATAATTTGAATGTATAGCAGATGCTGGTGCCGAAAGCAGAGACACTTCTCTTGAGCTCCTCAACCGCCTGAGAGTCTTCGTTTAGTCCCTTTATTCGCTGCCAAGAAGTTTACGCTCCACTCGCTCGCTTTTGCCTGGAAACCGATTGTTTCATCTGCTCCCTACCGTCAGGCAGTCTCCGTTCCGCCTGCTCCCCACCGCCAGGCAGTCTCTATTCCGCCTGCTCCCCACTGCCAAGCAGTCTCTGTTCCGCCTGCTCCCCGCCGCCAGGCAGTCAATGTTCCGCCAGGCAGTCTCTATTCCGGCTTCTCCCCACCGCCAGGCAGTCTCTGTTCCGCCTGCTCCCCACCGCCAGGCAGTCTCTGTTCCGCCTGCTCCCCGCCGCCAGGCAGTCTCTGTTCCGCCTGCTCTCCGCCGCCTGGCAGTCTCCGTTCCACCTCGTTCCCTGACGTCATACCCTGTATACATGTCATATCCATTCTGCTTCTCTCCGCGTGCCGCCAGGATATCTGCCGCCGAGGAGATCCCGATGCCCGCCGAGTCCGTGCAGCTGGTCACCGCCTGCACGTGCTGTCACTATTTCGACTTGCCCCGCTTCTTCGCGGAGGCGGACCGCGTGCTGGCGCCGGGCGGCGTGCTCGCTATATACTGCTATGGCCTGCCCGAGCTGTACCGCAACGGCGCGCTCTGGACCGAACTCAATAACGTCATGATGCAGGTGAGTTGCAGCTGCTGGCGATCTACGACTTGTGCTTGGAGTCCTGGTACACCTTAAACATGAAGGCTAGCTGGGTTCAGATTTGCTCTTTACTTGCGCGGTGCAGCGATGCTTGCCGTTCTCTTAAAATCAATTCGGCTTACAAGAAAGCGTTATAATCTCCCAGCGGGTGCGCAGTGTGAAGCCTGGGAGCTTGCGTGGAGCAGGAAGTCTGTCTGTCCCGCCATTTTGTCCTAGGAAGTGGCCGACCTTACCACGTTGTGTTTCACAGGCTGAGGACGACCAGTAGCCGGCTATTGGAGCCTCGTCCGTCGCTGAGCTCGTTGACCGGTACAGCGACCCACGCTTCCGGCTCCCCTACCCGGGCGAGGTCAGGTGAGTCTCAGCTGCACCGCCGGCGAACAGGCCCGTGAGGGTCAGCGGGATGTATCGCGTGGCAACACCTGCACTGGCGAGACGCCGCTGGACAGGGGCATAGTGCTGTCCTGTGTGGGATGGTGTTAAAGTGTGGCGTGATGTGTGACCGTCGCGGCGGCGCACAGATGCCACGTCCACTGTCATTTACTGCCTGTCAAGTACACACACTGGACACGCTGTGGTCAGCCTCGCAACATGCTCTGGTGATGTTCTTGCGGTGGGATTTTCTGCCAACAGCGTTTGTGTCACACGCCTGACGTGGGACCTACAAAAATAGTGACCCAAACGGTCTGTGAGCTGGCGGTCCTCGCTGGCGCCCTCACTTGCTGTAGCTATGCCGGCCATCCAACAATTGGCACTATTCACCAAGGATACGCTCTTATTCCATCTCGTTATTTGCGGTACGCTGCATGTGTTAACGTAAATAAGGCTTATTTAAAATCCCTTCTCGCTAAAATCGTCATTGCGGATCATTCGTGTAACGACACCACTGCTTGGGCGCACCCTCTTTTTTCTCGGTTGCACGAACATGTTCGGTGCGATCGATCAATAAGTTGACCAGGTTCAGAGTGTGGTTTCCCACCGCACTGTGGCCTGGGAATGTCACAACACTGCGGAGCTAACTGCCATCAAAACAGAAAATACATTGGTGATGTGCTCCTTAATGAAATTACCCTTGTTTTCCACTTTGGTAGTAATCTCTAATGATGTGAAGAAGGCTGCGGAGACGGCTTAAGCATGTCGTTCAAGTGATCAGACTTCGGTGCATTCAGACTTTGGTGCATCAGACCTCGTCTACTGTTGGGTGTCTATCCATGTGACGATTATTTCTCCTAACATCACCTTTGGTCCGGTTTCCTTCCACTACCTCCTCCACCACCGCGGCCCATATGTCGTCTTCCTCCGACACTGCCCACGCCCTTCTCCGCGTCTGGCCGGGGCTCTGACCCCAGCCTGCCGCCGGCCCGTGACCTCGAACTGAGTGCTGACGTGTGAAAACCGCGGCCGCAGGGACGAGAGCCACTACCAGGAGCAGTCGCTGACGCTGGACGGCCTGCTGGGCATTATCAAAACTTGGTCCGCCTTCCAAACCATGGTGTCCCGCTGCGGCGCCGAGCGGGGCGATGCCCTGCTGCAGCAGACCCGGGAGGGGTGAGCGGGGGATGGCCGGCCGGGCGGTCCGGGAGTCGATCGACGGGGGGTTCCTCTGTTTTCTGATGTGCAATTCTGCGGCATTATATCGGTGGCAGCTTTTGAATGGCGTAACGCGTTGTGGTATGCAACGTCAAAGCATAGGCTATTATAGATAAGCGTAGGGATCAAATTAATGTGCCTCCCTATTCAGCACATCATCGCAAAATATGCAGGCACTGAATGTCAAGCAATTTAGACATTAAAATATTGTTCTTCCCAATCCCATAAATGGTAGAGGGTTGGACCTGTAATCAGAATATCCCGATTCGAATCCACGCATTTCCAAGGGGACCATTCAGGTTGTGACGCATACAAGGTCACAGCACCATTCAGTTCTTCGCCGGACAGACGAACACCTAACGATGTTCTAAGAGTACCGAATAAATACTAAATTTCGTCACATCAAACACACGAGTAAACCAGCTGGTCATGAGTGGCCCCATAAAAGAGAGAATGCAACTTTGGAGATGCAGAACGCAGAATGCAGAATGCAGAACAAAGAGATGACCTAAGCTGCAAAGTCAGACGGGCTTTGGAAAAGGCCAAACAACCTTAGCTAAAGGCAACCAATGATAAACAAGCAGCCATTACGAAGCTGAACAATCACAACACTATCAAAACCCCAGCTGACAAAGGCTATGCGATATGAGTTGCATTTGCAGGCGGAACAGCATGTCTAGTGATACAGCAAGCTGAAGAACGATTGTACCCCAACAACCAACCGTGAACTCTGCAGGCTACGATAGAAAAACCAATTACGGCTGTAACGGCTGATAGCCAAACACCGTGAAGTCAAGCAAAGTTGAATTAATCATATATTTCATAAAGTGAATGACTAAATAACTCCCAATTTCGTTTCACGGGCTCTATTCCATTCACCCTCCTCTCCTAACATTGAGAAGGATCAATGCCGAGAAAAACCTCCTTTCCCGCATCTTAATAGCGGGTTTTACCCAATTCTCCACTCAGCTACCTCGGCGCATTTTACAAAACATACAACCATGGTCATGTTCTGTTCAGGATTGCATAACACCTGACGACGGCTGAATAATTAACCAGTCGAAACTATTGTGTTAGCCATGAAAACGCCAGACAAATGTGATGCTCCAAGGAATTATTCCAGGAGGATTATTCTACGAGCAATTATTCTGTCTAATGTTGATACTTCGTCTCACCTATTTCATAAGTTTGCACTCCGTTCTTTGGCTTTGAACTCACGCCCACCCGGCGGGAAGTTTACTTCCTCTATGGTTTTTCGAGCACAGGAAAAACGTTTCGGTACCAGTTCATCTACAAATTTGACATTCTTTTCGAAAATTGTATGTTTAGTCTACGAAAATCAGCGATTTAGGTCAGGTCAAAGAGGTTAACCCTTAAGAACTTTGACCACACAGCTTTTGTGTGGATTATTTGCCATTGTTCAAACTTACTGTGTTAATAGAGCATAATGGTACCTACGGTTTTCACCTTTCATAATTTTCGAACCAGGTGAGGTCACTGATCTGACCTCAGGTGAATCTTTGCCATTTCTTGGTACATACTGCAAGTTTGTACATATCTTTATGCAGCTTTCTATATCATGAAAATAGTCCTAACTCACATACACCGCCATCATACGATCACAGAGCACATGATCCTGGCCCATGTCATGGCCTGCCTCTTTTGGTACCCTCTAAAAAAAACATATTTCGAGCTCAAAATAGGCAGTTTTAACAGGTTACCCTGGACGCAGAATAAGAATACTCCACTGAAAACATGTGATAACATTCTGATGCATATTAAAGTCACAAAAGGTCACGTGAGGACATTCAGGGTCATATGAGGTTATCCAAGGTCAATAATCTGTCGTCAATAGTGGAGAAGCTTGATGAACGAGTGCGACGTATGCAACCACTTCCTTGCCAGGTTGTGACGTTGGTGACGCAGAATTGTATGTACCAACGTGCCTACTCCCAGTTTGTTGCCAATACATCACCAAGCGTGGAAGGGACGGTGTATGATATGGACAACAGCTCTGCGATTTTGAGTACCTGCAGATTTACAAGACATGATTTCTGACCACGGAAATCATGGTATTGGTCACCTAGACCCGGTTGACACTGCGGTTTTTTCATTTGGATGATGTATAGATTTGACCCAAGGTGACCTCAGATGAGCTCAAGGTTTGCCTCGAATGGTATTTTGGTGTATACAATGTTTTACTCCACAGCTGCATTCAAAACAATAAATCTGTCCCGAGCGCATTGAGAAAATATTGTTCTTGTAGGCTACCGCCAGGTCAATTTTGAACGGTGACCTGATCTGACTTGACCCCTGCGGGCAACAGAAATGATCAAAATGAACTCCGGACAATATTGACGCTTATTTCCGTGCCCTCAATATCTGCCTTGACGTGTAAACATAGGTTTTAACAACATCTATCAAAACGATCGTTTTGTTACCTTCGTGACCTCTGGTGACCTCGCATTTGAAGTAGTCAAAGACTTAGTCTGGGTTCTTCGTAATTTGACGAGACATTCACAACCGCACCTTTGTTTTTCTTATACGGCGTCTGGAACTTGGATATCCCAGGGAAAGTCAATTTCCCATCGACCGGGCGCGGTTGTTTCACACCCCCGACCGGGCGCAAGTTAATTCCCGTCGTAGTGTGTTAGAGGGAACGTTCCAACTTGGATGAGATTGGGAACCGAGATAGTCATTTTGAGGACCATTCAGTGCAGTGTGTGCAGGATGTGCCTTATACGATTGCGTAATCGATCATGGTGAACTGACTTCGCTGTTTCCCCAGACTCCATGCGGTGCTCTCCAACGGCGACCCGGAGGTCGATAATAACGTTATCCCTGTCACCGTCCGGTACTCCTACTTCCTGCTGATGGCGCGGAAGCCAGCGTCACCCTGATCGTCGCTCGCCGATGATCGTGTTCGTGCTGTGCCGTCGTGGGGCGGTGGGTAGCGGCAGCCGGGGCTCAGCTTGATAACTTAGGAGTCAGTTTTGATGAGGTAGGTGACGTGTTTTCGGTGGCGGGTTAGGTAAGGTTGAGGGCGGGTAAGGAGCGGGTTAGGTGCAAGGATGTAACTTGATGGTACAATATTCTGCTGTTGTAGTCGTGCAACTGAAAGTGCCTGGAGCATGTTGCAGGATCATTGGCGTTTTTTTGTGTGGATATGGTTACGGGAGAGAAAAATACGACCAATGGGAGAATTGGGAGGAGGCCGCGAGCACACTCATGGTTATATAAACTCTTGCATCTGGTATTTTGTGAAAGTCGTGCATTTGGTGGCATCTGTGGGGCGCCTCTTTCTACTTTTTCAAAAGCAGGGGCAAATACATTTCGCTGGCAGTCTTAAGAAGGCAGGATGCGTGGTGCCGCAGCGACGGTCCTTGTCAGCATATAGGCGCGTGTGACTTGTATTTCCTTGCTATACGAAACGTGTCCACATGTTGATATTGCTAATGAGTCATGTGTGTGGTCCACAAACACCAATAAATATTGTTCTTCGATTTAAGCTCTTGCCTTTTGGGCCTTTCTGATTTGCCTCCCCTTTCTATTGCATGTCTTGTTTAATAAACATATTGAAAATGATGATGGTATATGCCGTTCTGTGACAATGATTTTGTCCGTTCGTTTAGGCGACTGTTAGTGTAGCGGCTGTTGCTGTTGAGCGTCATCGAACTTTCAGTGACATGGTCAGTCATCAGCACTGATACGTTTTTAAACTTTTGTCATTCCAGACCAAGTTGCGGGTGTATTACAGCGATACCGGGCTGGCCATTACATACTCACTGAATCACATTCAATATCGCAGCAGCATTTGGCGTTTCTCCGCCTCTAAACACGCAAGCTCTCTTTCAGAAATGTAACACACATAAGATCTGACATTTTCGTGTGCGACATACGGAGATGTCGTAAGCAAAGCCTATTTACTGAATGCCGATATGTTTTGATTTGCTGGTAAGGAAAGCTTTGTCTACACGCATTCACCGCTTACACTACTGATCGATCAAGTGCAATGGCTGAAATAAATACCAGACAGACATTGAGCAAGTTATAACCTTCGTCCTGGCTCGCCGCTTTGTATTACGCCAACTGATGTTGGGGGGGGGGGGGGGGGGGGGGAAGGGGGCAATGTGATGCCCCGGCATTTTCAAGTTAATTAAGATAGATTTTAGCAGAAAACACCAATGAATTGGCTTAAGTAGCATTTTGCCATTGGCGCTAGTTCTTATGCTCTAGATCAATAATTGACCCCATTGTGACTGGTCAAAGGCTGAACATTCCAGAAAATCGCGTTTTTCAGCTTTATAACATCACACATGCCAGACTGTCTTGTGGTGGCACAAAACCTAGAGTTCTGTTCTTTGTTGAGCTACAAGCACGGTGGTGTCTATTTTGTATGAGATTTAAGCATATTTTTATTATACATGGCTCCGTTAATGTAACAATGTCAGCCCGCCGCGCGCCTTCCCGCGGCATCGTCAGTTACCGCCCACCGCCCGCGCCGACTGCAGATTGCGTCAGTGTCCTGTTTCCCCCTCTCTCTCTTCTTCTCTCCTCCTCTCTCCCCTTCCTCCCTCTCTTCTCCTCTCTCATCCCTCCTTCTCTCTCCTCTCTTCTCGGTCCCTCCTCCTCCTCTCTCTCTCTCGACGCCACTTCTCTCCTCTCTCTCTTCTCCTCCTACTCCTCCTTTCTCTCTCTCCTTCTCTCTCTCTCTCTCTCTCTCTCTCTCTCTCTCTCTCTCACTCTCTCTCTCTCCTCTCTCTCTCTCTCTTCTCTCTCATCTCTCTCTCTCTCTCTCCTCTCTCCTCTTATCTCTCTCTCGCCTCTCTCCTCTCCTCTCTCTCTCTCTCTCTCTCTCTCTCTCTCTCTCTCTTCTCTCTCTTCTCTCATCTCTCTCTCTCTCTCTCCCTCTCTCTCCTCTCTCCTCTCTCTCTCTCTCTCTCTGCATTTTTAGCTAGATTTAATCATCTTCAGACGGAACGGATACCAAACCAAGGCCAAACCTTGCCCTCGACCTCGGAAGCATCGAACCACATACCCCACATATGTTTTAACTGACCAATCGTGGCAGAATATCGCTGGCGCTGGAACATTCAGAGTGACTTTGGGTGACATGTCATGTGGTGGTTCACCAACCAAAAGGTCAAGGAAAGCGATGCAAAATGCTTGAATGTCAAGCGTGCCAGGGTTAGCGGTCGCAAAACTGCTTCCAGGAGACAGCCAGCCTCAAGATCCGCGATGGCTTCATTGATCTTTGTTAACAGTGGATGACATTCAGGATTAAGTCCGAGCCCAAATGCATGGGGACGCTTAATACTTGAATTACGAGGCTTTCATGGCCGACATTTGCCGAGGCGTCGCTGGAAACGGTCCTTGCCAGCTGCCGAGCTGTCAATCCCACTTTTCCAACTCAAACTGTGGCAGACGTATCACACGATGCGCGAAGTACTTGGACAATTACGCTCGACATTACGAGGTTAGCTACACACAGTAGTGCTTATATGTGCCGGTACGAGTACATGCTCTTGTCTCAGCCAATTTTTTTCGATGGCTGTGACCCCGGCCGCCGATAACCCAGTCAAACGCTTGCATACCCGCTGCGCGGAGGGCCCTCGTCAAAAAGATGCAGCAGTACGGAGAATACAGGCCGAGACGCAAATGCTGTTTATGGAGTCACACAAACAAATAAATATTGTGCGATTTTCCTAAGCGTATGTCGACCACCGCTGCAAAGTATTGTACGCCAAAGCTCTCCTTACATTTATCTTTCTTGTAAGATTCATTATTGATATTGTGGTCGCGATGTGACGAGTCATCATCTTTTCCCCGTTGCGTTGGAGGTTAGAATGATCTCTGTCATTTTGGATAAGCAAGTCTAAAGCGGTGCGCATTTCCAACAAAAGAAGGCCTGTATTGTCCCAGAATGCATCAATTCACCGGATAAGGCCCCTGTTAAAATGTTTTTGTGTATATTGTCAATCTGAAGGTTCGAAGGAGCTGGGTTAATGCTGCAAGGTAGGTGGATGTCACAGATTTGATTTCTAGGAAGCTGTGGGGTACTGCTGTGAAGACCCTTTAGGCGGTTTTTGTTCTATTGGCTACATTGAATATGATGGGTATGTGTCAATGGCTCTTCAAGGGTCAATGTCTAACGATCAACAGTGTCGCAGAGAGCGGGAGTATGCACCGACGGCGAGACCGTGAAGAAAGGAATGCGGACAGGGGAGAGAAAAGTTTGTATTGGCCACGAGCATTGTGTGACCATGGAGCGAAACAGCGTTGGATATGATAAGGCTGGTACCTGGCGGCTACGCAACTAGTGTTTAATTATAACAGGCATTAAATGTCACACACACACACACACACACACACACACACACCACACACACACACACACACACACACACACACACACACCACACACACACACCACACACACACACACACACACACACACACACACACACACACACACTCACAGTCTTTTACTAATGACCAGGTGTTTATGCTCGCAATGCCAATGAGAGGGATAGCTGTAAAAGTACAAACATCATGTCTCACATTTTAGGTAGACAGCCATTCAAACCATGTCCAGTTGATGAGACCAATCTAGAGACTGATCCTCAAGGCAGTTGTCATATCGATCAATTTTGAATGTCAGCAAAGGAAGCGCACATAGCTACAACAGCTACACTAACCTCTGCGAGGACGAAGGGAAACCTTTGTGAAATGCTGTCGGACATTGCGTTGCCCAGGTTTGTTCCATTATCTTATGCCAGAATGAAAGTATTATCACTAGCAACTGAAGCAGGTACTAGTCAGTGCATGGGTGTCGATGTCTCAAAGCGATTGGGAAAGGTGGGGGCAGAGTCGTGGAGGCCGTCAAAAGAGACACCATGTGTAAAGTAGCGCGCAGAATGTCGGCGGTGTCAAGTAGTCTTCACAGCAGCACCATATATTTCTTGAACTCAAAGTTACGGCACCCAACCATCTTGCAGCATTGACCTAGCTCCTTCGAACCTTGAGGCTAACAGGTTCACACAAAACGTCTCGACAGGGGTCTTTGCTGATGAGCTGGTACATTCTGGGACAATACTGGCCTTTTTATCCTCAATGCGTTACATTGCCACCTCAGAGCGTTATATTGCCACCGCTCTGACATCCTGAACTGACCTGGGACGATTTCACGGAGCCGGTCGGGACGGGGATTGGCTCCAGCAACATCGAGCGACACCATACATGCAATGCGCGCCGTCTCGCCCGATCGTGTCCTCTAGATGACCTTTTCTCTGGCATGCACATCGGCTTAAGACTACCGGTTAGTGGCTTCCACTCACCCGACTCGTCGTCCTTGATCACAAGAAGAGCTCCACGTAGATTATCCAGCTTACCGTCAGAGGCTCCACTCCGCCTTTAGACTTGAGATAGGACGCATCGCCGTTGATAAGGCTGACGGGACAATCGGTCACCTGCAGCGGGTTCAGCTCTAGCGCACTTTGGACCACCAGGGGGCATGTGGGATATCTTTTGTTGTCGCAATTTGACGGATTTGAAATCTCTGATGACCACCACTGCTGCTGTTTATGTTTTGCCATTGAGTTGTGCTACGCCTTGCAGCGTCAGTAAAACGCCTGGTGGCACCCCTGCCATGCCAGCCGCCCGGCCGCCCTGGCGGGTCGGGCCGGGAGCGTTCTCGAGGCTCGCGCTCTGCGTGACTGCTATTCACTTATGTGTGTCGATGCGGAACAATATAACTCGAATCTCGATGGCGGTCGAATGCTACCATTTTCACGATAGTGCGAGATCTCCATTAAGCAATGCATATTATGCTGAGGACAGCTTTCGTTAACTTTTACCTCGGCCATCCAATGCTTTAAAAAAGCTGGCGTACATCACTGCC